GACCTCTTCTAACATTACACTATTAGGTTTCCCAACAAGTCGCGTCGTTCCATTTCCAGAGCTGGTTTTCAACCAGCAAACTGACGAGCACCGTTACCTGAGATCTAGTCGCAATTTTTTTTACAGCCGAAACATTGAAAAACTAGTAGATTTCAAGAAGAGGTAATGACTAAGTAGAATTAACGTGATGTGTTTGTTATGCATCTTCTATCAATGATTCCAATTTTTCAAAGAAATGCGGTCACTTTCGTGGATAAAACACCTATTCTAAAAAACCTCAAATTCTAACTAATTCCCAACAAACATAAAAACAAAAATAAAGAGAGCGAATAGAGCAGAAGAAGTGCTCACAAAAGAGCACCACTTGATATGAAACAATGGCGTTTAACGATTTTTATTTGAAAATTGCTATGGCTTGCTATTTTCAGCCAATTCGAAAAGAAACAGGGCAAACCTTTTTCGGCAACCTAAGGAGTGGAATGTTCAGAAGAGGTCATGAGTAAGTAGAGGGTACATCATTGATTGATTTCTAGGGAAGATAAAGTTAGAGCTAGTTGTCGGTTTGGTCAATTTTTGTCGGCTGGACCTCCCATTTCGCAGGCCTAAAATTTGAAAACCCTGGAAACAGAGGTGGAAGTGGAACATAGCATTTTGTAGAGCAGACAATTCTCTTTCGAATGGTATACACACGAATGTCAAGTATTGAGATCTAGATAGAAGATTTCTTGGTGAAAAAGCGACACTATTTTATATGACACCTATATAATACATTAAAGGACTCCTAGCCAATGTGTGACCTTCATAATGACATGCATTCGACCCTTATTCCTATATTTTGACCCTTATCCCTATATTCTTGTGGTTATTTCAAGTACAAGGTAGAGAAGGAAGTCATATGTTCCTTTCAGATGCAAGTTCGGTGAATAACTATACTAAAGGCGAGTCACTTTTGATATACATACTTGATATATGTACTATCGAACTGATGTGAGATGGTGGGAACGGTGGTGACAAATGGCACCGTACACCATGTGCACGGTCCGGGGATTGAACCCAAGAATTAAAAGCGTTGTCACCGCGCAATAGCACCACATCTTCATCGCTATCGCGGCATGCACGCTTCAAACCTTATACCAATTGCTTTGGGTTAAAGCCAGCCCTATTTGAAGATTAAACGCAACCCCGCCCGCATGCCGGCTCATAAGACTTCTTATACATCATTGTTCCGCAGACCTGACACAATAATCGTGATTTCGTATTCACAAAACGGCTATTACGGATGTGTGAAAGTAACCCACGAGCAGCGCATAAAGGAACATCAAACCGATGGCCCGCCTGTGTGTTCCCTCGCCAGTCTTCTTTATCCTTATCTCTTGCCCAGCGCGTTTGTCGCCACACCCCTTGGTGGCGGTCCACTTTTCTGGTGTTACGACGCCACTTTTCCCTGATTATGTGCCTGATCGGGGTGAAGGCCAACTAATTTCAAATCCTCATGCAACGTATCAAGCCATCGTTGCTTCGGGCGTCCTCTTGGCCGCTTTCCTGGCACGTTAAAGTCTAGACCGATCTTACGGACACTCTCATCATTAGCGCGAAGGACGTGACCGTACCACCTCAGGCGAGCTTCGCGCATCTTATCAGCGATGGGAGCCACACCGAACCGCTTTCTGATGGTATCGTTGCGAATGTGGTCTAAACGGGTAACCCCGGCAGTCCAGCGCAGCATTTTTGTCTCCATTACACTGAGACGAGCCTCAACCTCTTTAGTCACGGGCCAGCACTCTGCTCCGCGTAAGAACTTGCCGACTGCGCGCGGTCGTGCCCCAAACAGCCGCGTTTCTGTAGATCCTTAGCATTTCACCGCTTTCCTATATTCTTTATCTGCAGCAGAACGCCGTCTATCGAGACCGCCACTGTGGACCAAACTCACTCACACGGCGAGCTTTCCACTTCAAGATCAGCGCTCGCCGTCGGATCCGCGATTGCCGACCGCCAAATACTTGAACCATCGGTGCTACGTCGCCGAGCCTCCAGTGCCACTGATCCTTCAATTGTGCCTGACTCTCCACCATCAAATCGGTGGTCCATAGGTATTCTGTCGTTCCTTCACTGGGGGAGCCCAAACAGTCCAGGAACGGTCGGACCAGGTTTGCACCTGTTGCTCGAGCAGATGTTTGTCATCACATGCGAGCATCACGTCATCAGCATAAAGAAGCGTCCATGGAGCGGGCTTCTGAAGATCACGCGAAATGGCATCCATAACGACAATGAATAGGAGTGGGGAAAGCGCGGAGCCCTGGTGCACACCCGACCGAGATGGGGAATTCCATCGAAGTACCTGCCACCCGTTTGCACCCTCGACTCACCTTCATGAGTTCGAGTAAAGTATGCGCACCCACTCAATGAGCTCTTCAGGAACGTCGTGCTGTCGTAAAGCATACCATATGACTTCTCGAGGAACGCGATCAAAAGCCTTCTCCAGGTCCAGGAAGGCAAGATGCACAGCTTTTCTTTTCTCGCGATGTCTTTCCAACAGAAGGCGGGCGGCATGTATTGCATCGATGGTGCCGCAGCCTGACACAAATCCACACTGGTTGATGGAAAGCTGCACGATGTCACGGATACGGCCGTCCAAAATTCGCTCAAAGATCTTCATGCTGTGCGAGAGCAGGCGGATTGGACGGTAGCTCGTACAGTCAGCAGGGCTGCCTTTCTTCTTCCAAATCGGAATCGTTGTGCTCTGCTGCCAACTCTCAGGCACCTTTCTCTCTGCTACGATCTGGTTGAAAAACTTGGTCAACCATTCAGCAGGACACCAGCATTTCGACTTCCATATGTCGGCCGCCAGATCATCGGGTCCTGTAGCTTTTCCCGACTTCATCTTCTTCAGAGCCATTTCCGTTTCCTCCACGGTTATTCTCTGCACAGGACCCCCGTGTGCAGCTGGTGGACATAAGGACGGCTGAGATGTTTTCGAAGTAATCATGCCATCGCTTCACTGCTTTCTTGCGGTCCGTCATGAGGAGGTTACCATTTTCGTCGTTGATGCCGAAAAACTTCTCCGATGTCCTCGGACTGGTGATGGCGGGCTTTGGCAAGACGATAAATGGTATATCTTCTCTTTAAAATTCTCGATGAGGACTCTTCTAATATAAGCTTTATTGGTTAGCTTTCGCTGTAATAACAGCTTCTTCAGACCTACAACAAACATCAGGTATATTACAATACTTCAAATATAAGAAACATCAACATAACAATCATCAACTGACCAGGCCAATGCTCTCGTTAATGGGGTATTCTGCAAGACAGTCAGGCTATTGTACAAATCAGGACAATGACAACAACAAAAGGAAGATCACACCTCACCACATAGTCGGCAGTTGCTCAACGAAATAGAAAGCCCCATGAAGGCAATGAGGCAGCTCTAACGTGACTACTTGTCAAAAGTTACAACTCTTTATCCCAGCCCACCCCACACTCAAAAGTCTCAATGCCTCCATGAGCTCTTCTCTGTTGTTTATTTCTGGAGACAGTCGCTTGATAGCGAGTGCCTCTAACAATTTTCTTTCCAACGAGGCTTCTTTATAGCGGTGTAGCACAGTGACTTTTATTGATGGAGGCGGTTCTTGTCCATGGTAAAGCGTACGATGTCGCGAAAAACCATTGCTTGGGTAAGAAGAAGGGTTTCGCAACGCTCGCATATGTTCGTCTATTCTTTTGTACAATGGCCTCATGGTTTCTCCCACATACGTGCGACCACATGCTTCACATGTGACCGAATAAACGGTTCCTCGTAATTGGCAGATTTTCGTTTCCGTGCAGTACGAGCAGTTGGTTCGGCCACACTTTTCTTCGTAAAGCCTTGACGAGGTTAGCAAGCTTTTGATGTTCCTTGGTGGGCGAAAAACTAGCTTTACAGGAAGGTTCGTTGATTTTACAATCCGGTTCACTTTCTTTGCAATGCTCTTCATTCACATACGGTAGTACCAGTGGGATTCCTCCAACAGCAAAGAAAGGACGCCATGACCGTGGTTCACATGTTGTGTAACCATTCTCTTCCAGTATTCTAGAAACAGTTCGCTCCACTTCTGCTGTCTCTCGGGTGCAAATCCTTGTCTTCGTTGTGATAAGATTCCGTATCACGTTTGCTTTCATATATAGTGGATGAGCACTACGAGAGTGCAGGATGATATTCTTGGACATAGGTTTTCTATACCACACAAACTCCTTGGCGGGCCAAATGGGTTCAAACCGACCTTCTGTATTAAAGGAACGGAAGAAAGCACAGACCATCTCGCGAATATTCCAATATTCCACCGTAAAGCGTATATTCGGATCACACGAATTTAGATTTTGAAGCATCGTGTGCATCGCGGTGGCAGAGCCAATCACAAATACATCGTCTATATATCGTTTGTAGAACGCAATCCCCGTGACCAGAGATCTTCTTTCTATGCGGTCTAAATAGACGACGGCCAGAAGGGGTGCGATTCTAAGTCCCATGGCCAAGCCACGTTTTTGTGAATAGAGCTCTCCATTGAATTGGAAGATATTGCATTTCAAGGTTGCAGTCAGAAGCTGACGAAGATCGTCTTCCAATAATCCGAAAGTGTGAACTTCTGGATGTTGGCGAAGAAGCTCCATTACAGACTGTACGGCGTCATTGTTGTTAACGTTTGTGTATAAAGAAACTACGTCAAAGCTCGCGTAACATGCGTCATCCGGTACCACGCAACGATTCAGGGCTGATATGAAGTCTCCTACGTTGACGAGATGAGCAGCTACGTGATGGAGTAGCGGCGACAGGAGCTTTACCAGGAACCAGCTCATTCTATCTGACGGACCTCCGCACGAAGATATGATTGGTCTTGTCTTGATCAAGTGTTCCTCAATGTGACGTAAATCGACGTCTTCGGAAAACTTGTGGGTTTTGACCAATGCATAATATGTTGGGATAGATGGAAACGTCAGCAGAAGTCGCTTGATGGTCCTTCTATTCATAATCTTGCCCAGTATTCGCGTTGCTGTGCTTCTAAGCTCATTTGACACTTTTTCGAACTCTCGAAGCGATGCCTTTCCATACGTTGTTTCATCCGATAGGTGTTGTCGACTGAGGTTCTTGTCCATTCTCTGCGTGAGAACAACGAAGTCACCACCTTTGTCGACTTATGTTGTATCGAAGCTCATTTTTCAGAGCAGCAGTAACTTTTTCAAGCCAGTTTTCTCGTTCTCTGTGAGGTTCGATGCAAACTTCGCTGTCCTATCGCTTCTGTATGCTTCCACCAGGTTTAGCTGGAGTGATGTCAGTGTAGATTCCAGCGCAGGTGCTGGTTTTGGTGTCAACACTGACGTTGCTGGGAACGGTATCGATGAAGTGAATGTCGATAATCTGTCTAGGACACAGGGCTCGAATGTTCTCTCCATCGAATTTGGTTAGCGAATGTGTGAAAAGCACACATAACTGAATCCAACACATCCTGGGTAACAGCTGTAGCTATGGCAAATGATGGCCCTAAGTTCAGCAGAGCCTCCATGTCCTCGTCTACCGAATCTGTTCCAATTACCGTACAACGCTTTGGTGGTGTTGCATTCGGTACAATGAAGTGGTCTCTACGAGAGTGGAACTGTGATCTCAAGTATGCTATCTTTTCTTCAAGTTTTCTTCT